AAGATTAGTCACACATCATCATCATATGCCTTACCAGATTACTGAGCTTTAATATTTCTACACAGATGCCAGTTTTTGGTGTTATAAATCAGTTCTACAGATTATATAAGGAGCCATGCAAGTTTTTGGTGTTATAAATCAGTTCTACAGATTATATAAGGAGCCATTTAAACTCTTTTGGTACTAAATTAGTTACAAATCAACGCAGCCCAAATGGTCCATAGGCCCTCAACTAACTCACATCAAGTCGTTCTATCCACTGCTATCGCATGCAGCTCACCACATGTCTTCAACTTTTCAACTTCACACACTAGTTCCCTTCTACATTTTTTTTTGACCTACCTTAATTTCTATACCCTTGAGGGTTCCAATTAAAAATCCTTCTAGTTACATTGCTCTCACGATTTTCTCAGTGTGTGCCCTACTAACTCTAGTGTCTTCATATCACCTCCTGATTCACTGGAATTTGTTTAGTTCTCTTCCCAAAGCTCAACCTTAGTGATTTTTTTTATCGTAACATTGAATTCCCTCTATTCTGTTCTGTGCACACACTGTCTCATATTGCCAGAGTTCCAAACTAATGGTAAAAAATCTTGTTTCTCTACTGATTCTGTTGCTTGTTCCCAAAGGGTCTTGACCACATCTGCCTTGTCATGTCTCAATTCACCACCCAGTGGAGCAGATCCAGCCAATCTGTCTACCTGTTCATTACCCACCATCCCAGCATGACCTGGAGAAAAGATCCACAGTATGCTCACTACCCATGACCTTCCCAGTGAAGCTTGCCACTCTGCTTGAACCATCCCTGTCTTCACCTTTATCAGCATGTCTCACTAGCTTTTTGAACTCTTGATGAATTTTATGAATATGAATGTACTTATATGCATTTGCAGTCTCCTTTTGCATTCACCCTCCAAAGCAGCTGGCACATTCTGTATTGGTTTAGCTGCAATATCTTAACTATTCACCTTTTATTACATGCTTGTTAAAAGATGTTTGACCTCGAACTGGGGTAGGAAACCCATAGGGAGAAGACAAACATTTTCAGCCTTAAGTGATCTCATGAACATATGAAAAGTCAGAAGTTTTCTACATGTGTGTGTTCCATGGCCCGAATGTGGGGGAAATAATAAGAATACATCTACTGCCTCCCTAAGAAGCATGTCATAAGAGTTGACTAATTGGGGGTTTCCTTTGAAGTCAGAGTGCTTCTGCCAGAGAGTCAAGGAACCAACAGTCTGCATACAAATAAGCCAGAACTGTATAACAGATGTGCATGCAACATTCAGGTTCTGGAACAAGACTAAAGTCTGGAGGTGGACAAACAACCAGAACTTTCTCCTGGAGTTTACAGCCAGCGAATGCGAAGAAAAGTTTACATTGTGGCACTTCTACCTGAATATTCTGAAGCAACTTTCTGTCTTCTTCTTCTTCCTTGCGCTCTTTTGCTGCTTGCTTCCTCTCATCTCTCTCTTGAGCTCTCTATAAAAATAAAACAAACTCATTAAAAGGGAACTAAACATATAACAGGATATTTGCGTCATGGTTAGGATGATAAAAGGATGGTCGTTATCTTCACATCTTAAAACAACTAATGCATGTCCAAAGATTATGCTCTGCAACAATCTTCCCCTTGGCTCTGAAAATCCCACGCCAAGTTTCTCCCCATACTGCAAAGAACCATCAGTATACACTTTTGCTTCATCTCTGATGGCATTTTCACCTAAAACAGCTATTTTAATTCCTTCTTCTTCTCTTCCCCCAGTTAGCTCGTTGATGTGTTGTGGGGGAAGAGGGGAGGGGGGGTATGGGGGGTTAGATGAAAGGATCATCTGCAAACAAAGCTCTTTCTTAATGTGTTGCATAAGCTGATTATCATTTCATTAAGGCACTTCTAGATTATCATCCCTCTGTCGTATGGTCTTTTCCTTGCTTTGTGTTCATTATATTTCTTCTCTCTGTGGCAGTTGGTAACACAGCATTCTTATCAGATAGCCAAAACATTTCACAGTTACTCTTCAATGAAATGTATGACTGGTTTCAGTCCCAGTCTTCTAATTACTGCATTTCTTATTTGATCTCTCCTTGCTACTTCAGTAGCTCTTCCATGTCCTCACTGTTACTTCCAAGAGATATAGAGCAAAACACCCATTTAATTAAAGTATATTGTGGGAAATGCAGGGTGCAGTGGCTAGATATTTGTGTTTGGTTCAAATCCATACGGAGGCACATTTTTTATAAGTGGCCTAGACTCCCACTTTGACCCAGCCTAAAACAGACATTAGAATGATTCCTGGAAGTAAGAGCAGCGGGCACGATGTTGACCCTATCGGCCATTGAGTCCCAACTGGGGACAATAAAGAGGTGGTGCGAGATACTCAATAAGGAGCTAGTGCATGATACTCAAAAAAGAAAAAAGAGCATGATACTCAATAAATAGATGGTGCATGAAACTCAATAAAGGGCTAGTGCATGATACTCAATGAAGAGCTAGTGCATGATACTCAATAAAGGGCTAGTGCATGATACTCAATAAAGAGGTAGTGCATGATACTCAATAAAGAGGTTGTGCATGATACTCAATAAAGAGCTGGTTCATGATAATCAATAAAGAGGTAGTGCATGATACTCAATAAAGAGGTAGTGCATGACAGTCAATGAAAAGGTAGTGCATGATACTCAATAAAGAGGTAGTGCATGATACTCAATAAAGAGGTAGTGCATGATCCTCAATAAAGAGCTAGTGCATGATACTCAATAAAGAGGTGATGCATAATACTCAATAAAGAGCTAGTGCATGATACTCAATAAAAAGCGGCTGCACGATACTCAATAAAAAGTTAGTGCATGATACTCAACAAAGAGGTAGTGCATGATATTCAACAAAGAGGTAGTGCATGATACTCAATAAAGAGGTAGTGCACGACAGTCAATGAAAAGGTAGAGCATGATAATAATAAAGAGGTATGCATAATTCTCAATGAAGAGAACATGTATGATACTCAAATTAAGAGGCAGTAAACAATACTTGATGAAGAGGCAGAGTCAAACTCAGAGTCCACTGGCATAAAAAAATATCCATCCTCACAGCTACTGTCTGATAAATGAACTCACTGCTACTGTCTGATAAATGAACTCACTGCTACTGTCTGAGAAATGAACCCACTGCTACTGTCTGATAGATGAACCCACCACTGCTGTTTGAGAAATGAACACCAAACCATAGCACTAAAAGGTGAGCGGGCTAATAACTTCACTTCCATGGAACTAAAAATAATGACATTAATCAAAAAGTCATTTTAAAAGCATTAAAAAATATATATATATAAAAACAAGTCATACTTTTCCTTTATCAGCCTTAACTCGCAGCTCCAGAACAACTGAATCTTCTGGGTCAATCTGAATGTGAACAAGATAAAGATTGTTAATTATTACTGGGCTGCAAAAATCTTGATCTGCAAGAGTAGGAGTTTTAACTGACCGAGACCTCTCAATACCTTTGTTAAGGGCATCATGAGCAAATTTTAGTGAGGTTAATGAAAGAATTGATCATGTTTTCCACTGTGATAAAGCCTTCTGAGACCCAAAACCTTGCAATACAAGAGAGCCACCGCTATTATCTATGGTAACAGTAGACAGTTGCCCATCAAGTCTTGCACTCAGTGCTCTCAGAGACCATCGGATTGTTTAAAACATCAGAGACTTGGTTGCCCATTAGCTCACCAGTAGGCGAATTCGCCACCGGGTAGGACAGTTTTTGGGTCTGACTCCTCTGATCGCACCAATACTGGAAGTGTCCTTTTCAGTGCTACTTGGTGGCAAGCAATGATAAGCTATTTTATATGGCGCACATAATCTAGTCACGATTATTACCTAAAGCCCTCTTGCTCCCCTCGGAGTTGCTGGTGGAACATAACGATTTTTATTTGTTGTTTATTTTGTTGTTGTTGCAAAGCATGCCAAGCCAACTGCCTAGAACGAGTGCAGGTATCTTCTTCTTCTGACCTAAAAAAAAAAAAGCAACTGGCATGTTGTTTTGTCATTTACAAGCTGGCTGTGATATCTGTGTCTTTCAGTGAAAAACATGGTCACTTAATTCTAGCAAATCCTTCATGAGTTATCCATTATGACATGCTTGTTAAGGAGCAGTGGGTTTATTACTTTCTGCCCCGAAACACAATAATATTCTGAAAATGTATAGCAAAGCTTTAAGATTAACTTCAGCATACAAGAGAAAGAGGCTGTGGAAATACATCATGACCAATATCACAAAGTTCAAACTACAAGAAGAACAAGATTACTCTTTCATGATACATCTGATCAATCACATGCGAGGAGAAGACTAGGATTAAGTGGGTAGTGCAGCAGAACAGTATCTTTACTTTCTTTATGGGTTCCATGGCCCCACTGTGGGGGAAAACAAGAATAGACCCACTGCCTGCCCAAAATCATGTCGTAAGAGTCGACTAACTGGAAGCTTCCTTCAAAGTCATAGTACATCTGCCTGAGAGGCAAGGAACCAACAGTCTGCATGCAAATGAGTCAGACCTTTTTTTAGATTCAGGGGCCCCACTGTGGGGAAAACAAAAAAAGACCCACTGCCTGTCCAAAATCATGTCGTAAGAGTCAACTAACTGGAAGCTTCCTTCAAAGTCATAGTACATCTGCCTGAGAGGCAAGGAACCAACAGTCTGCATGCAAATGAGTCAGGCCTGTGAAATGCATATGCATGCAACACTCAGTTTTTGGAACAGGACTAGAATCCAAAAGTGGATAAACAACCATAACTTTCTGCTGGAGTTTACAGCCGGTGAATAGGAAGAAGTATCATTACCTTGTAAGACTGATTAAAGAGACTGAGGAGAGGGTCTGGATAACACTCAATGGACAAGTACAAAGATAGAAAGAATTTTAATCAGGCTGCCACTGGCATACTCAGAATGACAACTCTTTACTGGCTACCAAAGAAGAGGAATTCTTGACCAACAGATTCATTCATTACTTAAGCTACAATAAAGGCATCAGCCGTCTGACAAAACATTTAGGGCTTGTTTGTGCTTTAAACCTATTTGCTCACCATAAGGGCTGCATCACACCATCTGAGGGCATCTTGGAACTTATTCATCTGGTAACAGCACTGGGCACCTTATTCAGACATAAAGGTTTCAACTTTAACCAATCAACACAAACAGCTTTTTAATTTGTGGAGAGTCTTTTTTTTATACAAATTAAAAACAATAATAGATTCCAAGTAACTTCACAAACATTTTAGAGGATCTTTGTGGCGCAGTGGCTGAGCCTAGAGCTCAAAAGGATGTGTTATTTCACAGACTGTCAAGTTCAGTTCACAGGTGCAATACTGAGATAGATCCCTGGGGATTGTCATTGGAGCTATGAAGTCTGTGTTTTGTGCAATGCCCTTGGCAGGTGGCTAGCCTTTATGCAAAAAGGGACATTCAACATCTTTGATGTATTAAACAACACGTTTAACAGACTGCAAATCACCTACTGAAAAAAAAATCAGATGGACCTGTTGCAGAAATTTGGTGATGGTACTCACAACAACTGAAGCATTTTTTTTCTAGGCACTTGAACACTGGTATGGCAATTTAAACATTTCTTCTTCATCTAGTCTTTAGCATTCTTTTTCATAGTTTTAATATAATTTGTATCACTGTCCGTGTTGTACTGAAAATATTTCCTCACGTTTAGAGTGGGAAAGATTGTAGTGGCCTTGTCAATTCTGTTACCACGATGCAGTCTATTTATTTCTTATGCAATTACAACCTTCTTCTTATAGTCCATGCTGTCTGGTGTTGATAGTCACATCTTTCAACAGCCTTCTGTCCTGTACACTGTCAATCATCGCTGATACAGATCTTCATCTATGCATGAGTATTTACCATACCTCCAGGACACGAGAATGGGCTTGGATTTTGCTGTTTTTTGTTCAATATTTTAATACAAAACAGTAATTTCCATGGTTTTCGTTCAGCCCTGCTTTGCAGACTGTAAAGAATATATGGTACTTTGTTGCTGGCATTTTAAAAATCTTTAATGTTGACCGCAGCTTTCATTTTATTTAACTAGAAGTATACTTGGTTTCTTATGCATCATACAACAATCAAGAAAAGGGTAGCTGATTAGATAGATTCATACTGTGGCTGTAATCTCCAGCAGGTTAAACTTTGTCTAACACTGCAAGTAAATTATTATATTTTATACAGTGGCACGTTTTTGAGATGCAGAGTTAATACTATTGGTTGTGTTCATGCCTGCTCATCGTTTAGGAGGCCAGGATATGAATATATTTGCTAAAAATAAAAAGAGGAAAAAAAAGAAAAGAAAAAAAAGGTGGGGGGGGGGGGGGGGTGGTCCCCTGTGAACCAAATGGCTTTTTAAAAGCCAGGTTGACATCAAATTTTCTCTGCAGTGGCATGAGTCTCCTGATAAATATTGTTTTAGGCCCTAGGGAATGTATTCCATTTAATACTTTCCCTGTTTGTGTTTACTGATTACTCCCCTTATATATCTTTATCAAATGAAAATTAATTTTTTTTAAATGCAGATAAATAAATCTTCAAAAATTCATTAGTGATCTGTGTAAAAAGGTTGTTTTACTTTGTTCAACTGTTAACTCTTTCAGTAAAAAGACAGTTAAGTTAGTCATAAACTAATACATGATGTGTTCTTTCAGACTGAAAGCGTTAATGACTGGCACCTTTCTGTCTTTCCAGAAGACAGTGTTATACTGCACTCTGAGGAGGCATGGGACTCACAGTCCTTGACGATTGCTAGTGTGACTAGCAAGACCGGCCCATGTTAAAAAGTCTTCCACAATTACAGCATGGGATTTCAGGGCCGTTGTTATCAACATTTGTGTTGTCTCTATTTTCTCAGATGCTCAGCTCTCATCCTTTGTGCAGTCATTTCTTCCTTTATTCTCATTCCCTTCCTAATGTGCCCCCTCCACACAACAAGATACATGGCAATTTGTTCCCATGAGTCCACCTCAATACCTGTCTCATTTATGTTCCATTTGTACACATCTTTATATCATAGCAGAGGTAGGCCTCAACATCTTCTATGCGTCTTGAACGTTATTAAGCTAATGCTAAACATCCTCCCCAACGTTAGGTCACAGAAAGTGGTTTTGTCAACACAAACTTCATATAAGGGCAAACTACTGGCATGTCAACAATCTCAAATCAACTGCTGTTGCTTAAAAATGTATTCAAACTGACCCCTAAGGGTTTATAAAGTGGAAACACTTCATTTACTAAAATTGTGTGGGAAGAAAAAGAGTTTTTGAAAACCAAGTTTACAGAATACGATACCTCATCTTGAATTACTGACAACGTAATCAACTTTGGGAAAGATTTTTCTTTAGTGAGAATAAATTTTTACATTGCTTAGACTTACCTCTGACAATAGCTTTTATATGGTCTGGCTTGAACTTACGAGCAAAAATGCAGTCGTTGAATGCAGACCTGTAATTACCTGAGACAAGAAAAATTATAAATCAGATATATGGAGTGTTTAAATGCTTGAGGATTCACTTAATTGCATCGAATTTGATCTCATGTGGCTCGATGTCTCTCTGAAAACAGCTGGGTGACAGCGAGAGTGATACATAAAAGACAGACTCCACAGATCCAGCAATGACTTCCAGGGATCTCCAAAACACCTGCATTTGCAATTCACATGAGAGTTTTGAGATCTAACCCATAACCATCAGAACCAGCTGAAAAAATTTTACCATTTTGCCACACAGATCACTGAATCAGATATATGTGCTTTGCCAGAAGGCATATGGCAGATACCCTGATGCTAATAAAAAGGGTGGTACATTCTTACCATTGTGAGCATGCTCAAAGTAGAAAGCACATTTTCTTTGAGAGCTGCAAAACTAATGCTCTGATAACTGATTTCCAATTCTTCTCTACAGAAAATATAAATCTCATAGCACAAAACAGTAACACAAATAGTGTTCTAGATTGGATTTATTATTAATAAATATTAATAATAATACATTTATTAACATCTGGACTAATGAACAGTTAGCAAAGACTACTTATTAACGACTGGCACTGGGCTCTTAGGGAAAAAGAACAGATGGCGCATTATTAAAAAAAAAAATGTTCCTAGATAACGGTTTACAGTCAGATACCATCTGAGAATTATGATTTTGTTCCCTGAATAAAGGCTTCTAAGAGTACTATGATATTACCTCAAAGCAGTGTAAAACAGGAATTACTGTGTAAAACAGGAGTCACAATGACACGGAGGTTAGTGTGCCTGACCTGCCTACCATAACAGGTTCAAATAACCAGCAGACATGCTTACTTCTAGAACAATTCTGGGATGGACCCAACTTCACAAAAATGGGTGCCAGGCATGTTCAAACTGTTCTGGGAAGGAATTCCAGTGAAATGTGACTAAAAAGCTTAAGGAAATGGGGAAGCAGAAAAACGTGCACTAAACAACACAAATAACGTTTCGTCCAGCAGCCTACCTCAAACATGAAGTGAAATACAAAACGGTAACAAAGAGAAGAGTATTCAAATCTCTAAGGAGTGACGTCAGCAACTTTAAAAAAAATGTAGTGATGTGGGTTGAATGAAATAAAACAAAATAAACGATGGCTAAAAATAGTCGCAAAAAAATAAAGTGATATTGTTAATACATAAAATATTAATGGGAATAAAAGAAATAAAAAAGTTAATGATATATGAATTGTACTGATAAGAGATAGAATAGAGTAATAATATAAAATAAAATAGAACAATTAAAGGCTATCCTCCGAATAACGGCCACATATTATGGCCGCTACAAAAACACCCTAACAGGGCCTCAGTCACATGTAAATTGCGGACTTCCGGTGACTACTGCCACCGCCAAGAGTATCTGGGCCCACGCCTCTACGCGCGGCGTGGATTGGTGCTAACTAGAAGGCTGGGACTCACGAGCAGCAGCTTCCGCATCTCCCGCAGCTTTGCTCATGAGCCCCAGCCATATAGTTTAGCCCCAATCCACGCCGCGCGTAGCGGCGTGGCAGATACTCTCAGCCATGGCGGTATAGTCACCGGAAGTCCGCAATTTACATGTGACTGAGGCCCTGTTTTTGGCCGCCATAATATGTGGCCATTATTCAGATAGCCCAATTAAAATCTAAAATGTGATAATAGTAAAACTGTTTAGGTGAAGGTATGTTGGATATTGATGCTACCTGGACTAAGAACATCTAGGCTGTGGATGAGGCGTTTTCCAAAGCGAGGAGCGTGGTATAATCACCAGAGCAAGATTTAAATGCTGTGACAGATATATCATCCTTAAATCTGTGGTCAGAGTTGTTAAAATGGAGAGGGATTGGTTTAAGTGTCTTCTTGTCAATATCGGAGAGGTGTTCCCAGAAATGATCAGCTAGCTTCCTCCAAAATTGCCTCATTCAATTTAGGTCGTAAGTGCAGGGACTGGCAGCTGGTGCTGCAGAATCAGAAGTTCAACACATGATTCATGACAATTCCTGCCTAGGTGATGTGATTATCTATACAGATGGCTCTGTGTTTCTTCTTCTGCGTTCATCCGAAGACGTAACTGTGTTGTGTCCGTTTACAGCCTGGCTGCGATATCTGCACCTTTCGGCCAACACATCAGACTTCTGCGGGCATTTGTTGACTGGGCTAGCCTTCCCGGTGGCTCTGTGTTTGAGGCAGATAAAGTGCATGAGGGTTCATAGCAAAAGGGAATGGACGTTACTTAGTGCAGCAAAACCTGGCATATTGTATCAGTGTCTAGTTTGAGAATGGAGGTGGAGGCAGTCACTGCTGCCTTCCACTGACTTGAAACTGTCACCGATTCATAGAGCATGTTGAGAAAGGTGAAGACAGGCATTCTCTGTGTAGAGTGGCAAGCATTGCTTTAGAGGTCCCAAATAGTTAACGTCCTTTGGATATTTTCTCCAGGAAATGCTGGTGTGTTGGGAGATGAGCAGGCAGATAGACTGGCTGGTTCTGCACCACTTCGTGGTGAACTGACGTATGACAACCTAGATGTTGTGAGGGCTATTTGGGAGCGAGTGAACATTGCAAAGGCACAAACAGATCATTACGGACTAAGGTGAATGGCGCTGCAAGGAGTTAACAAGGGATCTGGCCTATGCTCAACACTCAGGGGATGTACAATCAGACAGTTACTGGTACCATCGGAATTGGAACTCTTTGTTTGTTGTTAAAAATGGGGATAGAGCGCTTATAGGAGTGTCCTGATTGCTGTGATGGCTAATCTTAATTCAACATACAACAACATTCAAGGCCTAATACTTCATAACTCATGGGCAGTAATTTCTAGGAGATACGTTTTCTTATGTGTAAAACAATGTATTGATTGGGATTCTGCAGCTCAATCAATCAATCCTCATCGCGCCCAGAGGCAGATAAGGCAGACAAATTATCGCCACTCACTTCGATCCTGAGCTATCCTCTCTATCTCCAGTTTTGTTCTTCACATGGCTTTGAGTTCTGCCTCAAAGGCTCGCCTCCAAATGCCTGCCTCTTCCTCCTTGTGGTGACCATCGCATTGCCTGTCTCGGCCGTCTCTCTTCATTCTGAGGATGTGTCCAATTCACCTCATTCTTCATTTTTTTATTTCTAAATTTACAACTTTCAAGTCTGTAATTTTTTGTAATCTAGAATTGATGACTTTATCTTCCCATATGCACCATAAACAATCTTCTGAGATGTCTTCCCTCAAAACCTCTGAGCACGATCTCTATCTTTATGTCTGTTTTCAAAGTTTCTGCTCCATAGAGGAGAACTGTTCTAATGCATGTTTTGTATATCTTGAGTTTAGTTTTAGCACTGTAGATGTTTGAACTCGAGACTATGAAGCAGCAATTGTCATTGAAATTCTCTGCTTGATTTAAACCACTATATTTCCATCCGAGGAGATATTGCTTTCCAGGTAGGTGAAGTCAGTTACTGTTTCCAAACCTACATTATCTTTTACTGTAGGTCTTTTATTTTTGGTGTATATCTCCAGCAGTTTTGTTTTACTGACTCTGATTCTTAACTCTGCTTTGATATTTCTGTGATCTTATCTGTCTTTTGTTGCATATGTTCTTCACTCTGGCTGATGACACATATATCATCTGCAAAGTCTAAATGATCAGGGTGTTTGAAAAGGTTCCACTAAAGGTTCACCCATGTGCCTGTGATTGCTTTCTTCGTAACATAATCTATCACTATGAGAAACAAGAAAAGTGATAGAATGCACCCTTGCCGGACTCCTGATATTACCACAAAGTATTCCGTTTCATGAGTCCTACTTTCACTTTGCATTGATATACTTCATAGAGCCCTTTACAAATGTTTATAACTTTATCCTTTAAAAATGTTTATAACTTTATCTGGTAACCCACTCACAGCAAGGATCCTCCACATCACTGTTCTATCTAGATTGTCAAAGGCCTTTTTAAAATCTATAAAGTTAACATATATTGTGACATTCCATTCTAAAGCTTGTTCCACAATATTTCTGAAAGTGAAAATATGATCACAGCAGTTTCTTCCTCTTCTGAATCCTGTCTGATCTTCCGACAAAACTCTATTTGCGTCTTCATTCTGTTGTACAATCACCCTATAGAGTGCCTTTCTGGGTACAGACAATAATGTTATGACACTCCAGTTGTTGCATGTGAGAAATCACCTTTCTTCGGTAGTGGGATGACTACACCATTTTTTCAGTCTGTTGGTACCCCTTCATTTATCCAGATTTTGTTCAATACTCCATGTAACGCTTTTGCCGTAAATTGTAGGTCTGCCTTTAAAATGTCAGCACTAATTCAGTCTTTACCTGGTGCCTTCCCATTCTTCATACTGCTTAATGCTGTTTTTATTTCTTTGATGCAGATTGTTCTAATATCCATTTCTAGGAGTTGCCCGGTTTTTTACTGTTTTCACTGGGATATCTGATGCTGGCCTATTTAGCAGCTCAACAAAATATTCTTGCAATCTGTAAATCTTTCCTCTTTCTGTTGTGTTTATTTCTCTTGTTGTGTCTCTCAGGTTTCCTTCATTAAAACTAACATGTTTTTGACTAAGATCCTTTGTTATTTTATAAAAGGTCTGAAAATTAAGTAATGATACTAATTCCATAAAAATTTTAAAAAATCAACAGTAGGACATAACTTGTATGTTATTCAAATAAAGCCTCTTGTACAGTGATACTGTGAGTAGCACGATCTAACAAACACTGGAACGACCTCTGTAGTTCTTCTGTTGCTATGGCCCTTACAGTCGTCCTTTTGGATGTCATAACTATAAGTAGGTCATGTCTGGGGACTTTGTTTATCAGTTCATCCAACTAGGTATAAAACTCATATTTCTTCTCATCACTTCCATTATTTGTTGGTGAATAGCACTGTTTGACTAAGTTTTGTCAATCTGGACTCAAAGCGTGCAGTTATTAGCCTTTCATTTATCGCCCTCCATCTAATCAGA